GAAGATAGAATTAGTTCGTAGAAAGTGAGATTTGAAGTGATTTTAATCTCTTAGTTTAAAGGAAGACAGAGAGTGTATACACCGACGCCATTGTGATCGATTCTGAGCCATGTCACCAAGGTTCTCCAACCATTGGTTACGATAGTCATGTGGACCCGAACCATGTAGTTTGCACCTACCAACATGGCTCAGACTAGAAGTTAGTGACTTTATAGACTGATGCCACGTTTTGGTTTGGCCGCCCCTAACTTTCTTCCAATTATCCCTAACACCGGTTAGCATTGCGCGTCGTGGTAATCGGTGTTCAGGCCTACGTAACACATGGCCCAACCATCTTAGTCGATGAAGATTCACAACCTAATCGACCGATTTACCAGCATTCCCTGGTACTCTTCGTCTAACCTCACTATTACTTACCCGGTGATCCCAGCAGATGCGAGCAACATCTGTGACCAGATATCAGTCACTTACGAGTGTCTTCTACCCTTAATGATCGCGTTTCGCAGCCGTAAAGTAAAACAGAACGAACTGCTGCGCAGTATACTCGTGCCTTAATTGATAGGTGGATATCTTGCCTTCGCCATAGGTGACCTATGGCAAAAGCCAAACGAGCATTTTGAATCCGTGCAGAGATTTCGTCAGACGCCAACCAATTAGGGCTGATCAAACTTCCAAAATAAGTGATGTCGACGCGTTTGACTACCTCATTTCCTATCCTTAGTTCAAGTGTTGACGCGGGCCAGTCCTGACCGTAGCTGCTACCTTGACGTGGTGGTCCGGCTTGCCTATCGTGATGACCCGACCGAGCTATATTGGCTGGAACACATGTTCCTGCAGGTTCTACCATGCCAGGCAGGTCAACTGGAGAATGGTAAGACTAAAAGCAGCAACTCAAGGTCTGAGGGCGAAATCGTACTGCTGACTGTACAGAGGTGTGACAGCAGTAAGGTGTTTCCCTCGGACAACCAGCATCTGCAGCGATGCTGCCTTCTCACGAGGAAGGAAGGGGTTAGAAAAGGTTGATCCTGAAAATGTCACACCTCACCTTACCCCACGGATTTCCGTCTCCGTGGTAAGGCCCTTTGAAGAACGGAACTAGCACATCAAAAACCTCCCACAAAAAGGCCGTGCGCGACCGGCCTCAAGCAGTTGCCCTTGGGCTCTGCGGTCACGCACTCAGGTCGTTAAGACCAACACTAATCCGATTTCCTTTTCAGATTCCTCAAGAAATACCCTTCTACGGTGTGGGCAGTCGGGAAGTGACATCAGCCCTCATACCCGTAACAGCACACGAAACCAAGTTGGTCACAATCAAATCCTTCCTCCACCTCCTAATAACTCTCTTATCTCCACGACTAACCCTTCTTACGTCTCTTTATCACCTCGCCCCACTAGTGTGAACGATTCGAGTACGCGGAACGTTATTCCTGGTCTCCTGAAACCACTCTCTAAACTACATGTAGGAGCTTTCAACGTCCGAACACTGTACCAAAATAGGACAACAGGCTTCCTTAGCTAAGACTTTAGAATCTCGCTCCATCGATGTGTGTTGCGTCACCAAAACGCACACACAGGACCCGAGTAGTATCATTCATCTGACCTCACCATGTCAAAGTAACGAACCAACTGGATTTACGCTTCGTGTATCTGGAAGCCCTGATGCTGCTTCCCGTGGCCTCGCTGGCGTAGGTATAGTATTGATTTCTAGGGCAGAACTACCTCTCTTAGACTGGATCCCAGTAGACAGACGTTTGTGTGCTGTCGCACTAAACGGAACAGTAAGGACTGGGAAAGATAGGGACACTCGTCATTGCCTCTTCGTCGTCTCTGCCTACTCTCCCACTAACTGCAGCTCAGATAATGTAAAAGATGAGTTTTACAGAAAGCTTTCCGATCTTCTCTGAAAAGCTAGGCGCTTTGATGTAGTAATAGTGACTGGTGACTTTAATGCTCAAGTAGGTAATCTAAGCGAAAAGGAAAGACACCTGGGTGGATCTTATGGTGTCGCGGTTCAAAGAACAGATAACGGCGACCGTCTGTTGCAGCTGTGCTCAGATAACCGCCTGTTTCTTGCAAACACTAACTTTAAGCATAAGGAAAAACATCTTTTAACATGGCGACTCCCCTAATTCGTCCCAACGTTGGACCCAAATAGATCACATCGCTATCAGCCACCGATGGAGGGGCTCGATAGAAGACTGTCGCTCATTCTGGAGCACATGCTTAGACTCAGATCATGCTCTAGTGCGAGCGCGTATTTGTCTACGTCTTTCTGGACGTAGGAAAGATGGTACAAGGAAACCTCTCAGGGTCCTACTTAATGATAGTCAAGCCAAGACTATATTTCAGAAACAACTAGAAAAACAGTTAGGCAGCCATGTAAGTGATGCCCACACCGAGGCAGCGTGGAATGACATCCGAAAAGCTGTAGAAACAGCAGTGATGTCTGCAAGTACGGTAAATCATAAAGTTAAGGAGAAACACTGGATCTCAGCAGCGTCTACCGCACTGATAGATGCTCGAGAACTCATTCCATCTGGCTCGAAACTTAACGAAGAGCGGAGTCAGCTTAAGCATTAGCTGACTAGAAGCCTACGCGAGGATCGTGAACAGTGGTGAGCAGCGAAAGCAAGAGATGGAACAGGCAGCGGCAATAGGTAACAGCAGGCAACTGTTCAGACTTGTTAAGTAAACCGGGATTAGGAACCCAACTGTTAGCGAAACTATCTCCGAAAAAGATGGACATATTATTCATTCTCAACCCAGGAGATTGGATCGATGGGCAGAACACTTTAGGGATCAGTTCAACTGGCCTTCAGCCACACTTCGGTTTCCCACGATCTCCCATCTACCTGAATGACAAGTTAATGTGAATCCTCCGACTCTTTACGAAGTTGAAAAAGACTATAGGAAATCTGAAGCGTGGGAGAGCAGCAGGCCCTGACAGGTTCACCCCTGAGATTTTTAAGGATGGTGATCCAGTATTAGCAGCGAGACTGACTGAGGTCTTAGGTAGAATCTGGGAACTGGACGTAATCCCATCTGACTGGTCTCAATCACTGATGGTTCCAGTTTATAAGAAAGGACAAAAGTCTTCTTGTGACAATCACAGAGGAATTAGTTTGACTAATATAGTGTATAAAATATTAGCTTCAATAATACTTCGACGTCTAACCAAAGCTCGTGAAATGCAGACTAGAGAAAACCAGGCTGGTTTTCGACCTGGACGTGGTTGTATAGATCAGAAATTCACACTACGTCCGGTTCTAGAACATAGACACACATTCAGACGCCCCACAATAGTAGTATTTCTCGACCTTAAGGCGGCATTTGACTCTGTTGATCGTGAGGTTCTATGGCAGTGTTTGTCACTGAAAGGAGCACCAAAGAAGTACATTAACCTTATAAAGGCTCTCTACTCGAACACAACTAGTCGAGTGAGAGCTTATGGCGAAATGTCATCAGAACTGATTACCTTAAGTGGTGTTCGTCAGGGCTGTCCACTCTCTCCATTCTTGTTTAACTTTGCCGTTGACGTGCTTTTAGAAATAACACTTTCCTCATCTAAATTTCCAGGAGTTGAACTTTTACCGGGAGATTCACTGGTTGACTTAGAGTATGCCGATGACATAGTTCTATTTGGTGAAGACGCTGACAAAATGCAGAGTCTGCTGACCACTCTAAGCAACAATGAAGGCATGTTCGGCATGCGATTCTCTCCCTCGAAATGCAAAATGTTGCTTCAGGATTGGGTTGCATCGGCACCCGAACTAGTGATAGGGAGTGAAGTTGTTGAGCGTGTCGACCGCTTCACTTATCTTGGAAGTCTCATCAGCCCTCGTGGTCTAGTGTGTGACGAAATTTCAGCACGGATACAGAAGGCTCGACTAGCTTTTGCCAACTTGCGTCATTTGTGGCGTAGGCGAGATATCCGTCTATCAACTGAAGGACGTGTTTACTGCGCAGCAGCTCGTTTCGTCCTACTTTATGGCAGTGAAACATGGCCGGTAAGAGTAGAGGATATTCGTAGGTTACTAGTATTTGATCATAGGTGTCTTCGAAACATTGCTCGTATATCCTGGGACCACCGAGTAATTAACTCAGTTGTTAGGAAACGGGTACTAGGTAAGGATGGCAAATCAATTGAAGTAGTGAAACTTCAGTTGAGATGACTGGGATATGTGCTACGTATGCCCGACCACCGACTGCCCCGACGTGCGATGTTTTATGGTGTAGGAGTAGGTTGGAAGAAAGCTATGGGCCGCCAGACCAAAACATGGCACAAATCCATGAAGTCACTGACAAGTGGACTGAGCCATGTTGGTAGGTATAGACTACCTGGTTGGGGTCCGCGGGACGTTAGCAACCGATGGTTAGAGATCTTGAATGACATCGCTCAAAACCGTTTGCAATGGCGCAGGTGCATCCACTCTTTGTGTTCTCTCAAACTCTAATCTTCTGAATTCTTCATGTCCTTTATTTTCTTTCCAAATCTATTCCACTGTATTATACTCCTTAAATAACATCATCAAACCCCAATGTTCCCTATTACTACTTATACTTTCACTACCTCTACCACTACGGGATTTGAATCGATAACTGAATCTCTGTGCTAATGCGGTATGGCAACTCGAACTGATGTACGTACGTACGAAGTTCCACGTTGTTACTGACTGACTGAAGCAACAATTTGCATTTAGAGGGGGAGAAACGCTGTTTGTCACTTATTATCCCAGTTAATAACAACCATTACGGACTGACATTATCTTATCAAATGAGGTAGTTTTGTGTTGTTGAAAGCAATTTATGTTACAAACAAAAGTCACTTGATAACATGTGCATGTTAACTAGTTTCGAGATGCATTTCAAGAAATTCTAAGAAAAAGTTACGACCTAAAGAGCTAGAGAAGTTGGAAGTGACATATTGATTTATTGACAATATTCCATCCAAAGTTGAATGTATTGCCCGATTAATATGAAGATCATGAAAAATTAGCGCTGAATTTTAGATATCTAAGTAGTTATTTTATTTACAAATTTGTTTCAAACAATATACATAGAAGTATTTTTATCATTACAAATATGAATATTGTTGTAAAAATCTTGAAAACAAAACTAAATACAAATTTTCTTACTGATACAATGTCTGATAGAAATATTGATTTTATATCCACTAAATGAATAGACAACACAAACATAAAAAAGTGATAAGGAAAGGAAAATTATGTAACTACAGGCAACTGGTTCACTTTAAGTGACAAAGGAGAAGAAAAACCGACAGGTTATCAGAAAAATGAAAGAAACTTCTGCGATGAATAGCAACACACGAGAATAAGAACGATTGGTAACCACCGCGAATTCATTGATATACAACCAAAAACGAATTTGGGAGTAAAGGGTGTAGGAAAAGTGAAGAAAGAGAAAGAATCATAGTACTCCTGATATACATCGGCTTAATTATACTCTAAAAAAACTACAGCTAATGCACAATAATGGTTTATCGGTATTCATTGACGAAAATAGATTAAGACTTACTGAAAGACATCTCAATATGTCAACATCATGACCGAAAACAAGACGAATCAGTCGTAAATTTTAGTTGGTCGAAGGAAAAGAAATAAACTGCAACTGAGAAATTTTCTTGTAAACGAAAAACTCAAGATACAAATTTATGGATGTACGATAAATTCACCCAATTGATTTCTCTAGAGATTGAGCACCAACCTTTACGAATTCGTTACTTACAACCAAGTCCAGGAACACCAAACAATTCAGAGGTAAATTCGAAAACAAGATAAGTAACACAAACAGATGGAACAGTTTTTGACAAACTAGCACTTAACCCACGATAAAGTCCTTTAAACCCATTCCTCTGTACAATGGAACACAAAGATTTTATAATAGGAGCAGCAGACGGAGATGGTGATGCTTGATATCGAGTACGAAGTAAATTGGCCGGATAAGTAACCATCATTGGGATGCAACAAGATATTAAAATCAATGGAACAGTTACCATAGCTGGCATATGAACCTTCATTGTACGATCTGTGTTAGGCTGGAGGAAATAGTGATACTCTATATAACGCTGTTTAAGCATCTAAAAGTAAAGCACATGTGAAAAAAAATTGAGTTAGAAAGAAGTATACTCTAAACATGCTTGAAGTAAACTCGTAGATAAGGCTTTGGGTCTGATATGAAGTAAATCTCCGATTCTGGTTTACTAGTGTTAATTTCCTTTTTCTACAGAAAATATTATTATTATATAATCAGACTATATTATCTAATCAATTAGTCAAAACAGAAAGAACTTGAGCAGCTAGGTATTTGTGATTCGAAACTACGCAGAAATAAACATACTCCGTGTAGAATAAAAAGCCGCATAAGTAGCGTACTATCTAAATAAAGCCAGAACGAACATGGATGCAGGATAATATGAATTCACTATATCTCGTGGTTTTTCATCAGCTTACAAACAAATGTGTCAAAATTTACATTGAGGTGAGATATAGTGTGAAACGATTGACACAAGTAAATCAAAAGCATTGGAATAACAAAGGCTACCAATAATAATATGTGTGCAAGAACAGGTCAGAGGTCATTTGGTTAGAATAAAAAAACGTGAGTGGTGGGTGATGTAGTAATTGAGTGGAGTTCAGAGACAGATAAGATAAATTGTGATAACTTTAGAGGTAATGAAGGGTTTGTACAAGATTCCTGGAAGTAAAAAACTGGTAAGATGGTTTGCGTAATAATTGAACAGGGTTTGAAGAGTTCACATAATTCAAGAAAATTGAGTGAGTGGAAATGTATGACTGAAGGGGGTGGTTTAAATGTACATAGGATAGGAATCCGGTAATGGAAGAGCGATATTATTATTTGAACACATAGATATTGGTACAACGAGGCACCAAATACATATGCTCCACACAAATCTCATTTGATTTGTGTGAGGGCTGTGATACTGTCCAGGTGCCCAAACCGAAACAGGTGGTTTTCTTAGGGGGCCACACTCGGAGCCTTCAACCTAAAGGTCTGATTCACAAGGCAGTGGAGCATCGTAAGGAGATGCAGTTCCATGGTAGCCGGTGGCCAACGATTGGTTCATATGCCATTTGTTCCCTGAGGATACTGGAGCCCATGTGCACCAATGGTTTAGAATTAGGGTTTCCCAACTCCCCTAAGTGGACTCTCCTTGTTCACTAACCCGGTTAAAGCGCCGGACATTCGCTTTTCGTCCTCTCAATTTCGTCAACAACATCCCCACCACGAGAAGGCAGTGAGTAGGACTTCCCTAGCAGAGGCTATATATGCGTGGCCATGTGAGAGCATTTGGAGAGGAAGAGCTAACTCTCCCCACTCTCGGCCGTACCAGGACATTAACGAAATAGAACTAATGACCAAAAATTGAATTACCAAGGTGGTAATAGGTTTATTACTGTCTCCTTTTGAATACATAGATCGGGTTTGAGTTTTTTTAACGCAATCGCTTCAGCAAAACTAAAAACTAGAGTAGAACAAGATATCCACTCCACTGATTTATTTTCTGCTTTCATCGCTGTATCAGCAAGTAATTAATTAGATGTACAATGTGGTTTAAAATTTTCAAGTGCCGATTTACAGCATCGCATAGATTAACATTTCGACAGGACCTTTGAATCAGAGGAAGCGCTAAGAAAGATATTTACTAGGACCCCAAAATGCATAAGGCGAAAAGTAATTTACCATAACAGAAAATGTAGCGTAGATCAAAAATAGGACTCACTAACTGAAAATCAATGCATAACAACTAACCTCATAAAGGCATAACTCCATTCCAGAATACGGCACATAACTCATCATACTGATTTTGTAGCCTCGATAAAATCCTCGGAAACCACCCTCATTATGTAGTTTTCGGATTACAGAAAATATGGAATTGGTTTCATGTGACCTACGCAGAGCCATTCGAGTTTTTAAAATCTAAAACCAGATGTATATTTCGGATAAGCGACTTCAAAGTATCAAAAATAATATTTGCTTTTACTATGGCGATCAGTAATAATACAACTTGGATTACTTTTTTTATTACAATTATCAAGACAGTATCTCCTTAAATTGTGGGATTTTACCAACGACTCTTTAAAATAAAATTTACTGATCATATATATTTGATACCACTATTATTTTGGCTTTTGGTATTTGTCTTCTTGCTTTCATCTTACTGTGATGACGTGGGATGGAAACTTAAGCTGATGTCCATTTACACCAGACACTATGTTGACTATGACTGACTGCTCCATCCTGTTAAAAGTAACTGTCTAATCAGTGGTGGACAACTTTAGCTGACATAAAAAAAATCAACGAGAGGCTTAAAATGTACTCTAACTTTCACCTTGTTGCGAGCACTAAGTATGTTACCCTATCTCATAACTACTTTAGCATTGAATTTATGGTTAATGCCATTATGCTTTACCTAAGATAGAGAAATAGAAAAGGCAGTGGCAATAGGTAACAGCAGGCAACTGTTCAGACTTGTTAAGTAAACCGGGATTAGGAACCCAACTGTTAGCGAAACTATCTCCGAAAAAGATGGACATATTATTCATTCTCAACCCAGGAGATTGGATCGATGGGCAGAACACTTTAGGGATCAGTTCAACTGGCCTTCAGCCACACTTCGGTTTCCCACGATCTCCCATCTACCTGAATGACAAGTTAATGTGAATCCTCCGACTCTTTACGAAGTTGAAAAAGACTATAGGAAATCTGAAGCGTGGGAGAGCAGCAGGCCCTGACAGGTTCACCCCTGAGATTTTTAAGGATGGTGATCCAGTATTAGCAGCGAGACTGACTGAGGTCTTAGGTAGAATCTGGGAACTGGACGTAATCCCATCTGACTGGTCTCAATCACTGATGGTTCCAGTTTATAAGAAAGGACAAAAGTCTTCTTGTGACAATCACAGAGGAATTAGTTTGACTAATATAGTGTATAAAATATTAGCTTCAATAATACTTCGACGTCTAACCAAAGCTCGTGAAATGCAGACTAGAGAAAACCAGGCTGGTTTTCGACCTGGACGTGGTTGTATAGATCAGAAATTCACACTACGTCCGGTTCTAGAACATAGACACACATTCAGACGCCCCACAATAGTAGTATTTCTCGACCTTAAGGCGGCATTTGACTCTGTTGATCGTGAGGTTCTATGGCAGTGTTTGTCACTGAAAGGAGCACCAAAGAAGTACATTAACCTTATAAAGGCTCTCTACTCGAACACAACTAGTCGAGTGAGAGCTTATGGCGAAATGTCATCAGAACTGATTACCTTAAGTGGTGTTCGTCAGGGCTGTCCACTCTCTCCATTCTTGTTTAACTTTGCCGTTGACGTGCTTTTAGAAATAACACTTTCCTCATCTAAATTTCCAGGAGTTGAACTTTTACCGGGAGATTCACTGGTTGACTTAGAGTATGCCGATGACATAGTTCTATTTGGTGAAGACGCTGACAAAATGCAGAGTCTGCTGACCACTCTAAGCAACAATGCAGGCATGTTCGGCATGCGATTCTCTCCCTCGAAATGCAAAATGTTGCTTCAGGATTGGGTTGCATCGGCACCCGAACTAGTGATAGGGAGTGAAGTTGTTGAGCGTGTCGACCGCTTCACTTATCTTGGAAGTCTCATCAGCCCTCGTGGTCTAGTGTGTGACGAAATTTCAGCACGGATACAGAAGGCTCGACTAGCTTTTGCCAACTTGCGTCCTTTGTGGCGTAGGCGAGATATCCGTCTATCAACTGAAGGACGTGTTTACTGCGCAGCAGCTCGTTTCGTCCTACTTTATGGCAGTGAAACATGGCCGGTGAGAGTAGAGGATATTCGTAGGTTACTAGTATTCGATCAAAGATGTCTTCGAAACATTGCTCGTATATCCTGGGACCACCGAGTAATTAACTCAGTTGTTAGGAAACGGGTACTAGGTAAGGATGGCAAATCAATTGAAGTAGTGAAACTTCAGTTGAGATGACTGGGATATGTGCTACGTATGCCCGACCACCGACTGCCCCGACGTGCGATGTTTTATGGTGTAGGAGTAGGTTGGAAGAAAGCTATGGGCCGCCAGACCAAAACATGGCACAAATCCATGAAGTCACTGACAAGTGGACTGAGCCATGTTGGTAGGTATAGACTACCTGGTTGGGGTCCGCGGGACGTTAGCAACCGATGGTTAGAGATCTTGAATGACATCGCTCAAAACCGTTTGCAATGGCGCAGGTGCATCCACTCTTTGTGTTCTCTCAAACTCTAATCTTCTGAATTCTTCATGTCCTTTATTTTCTTTCCAAATCTATTCCACTGTATTATACTCCTTAAATAACATCATCAAACCCCAATGTTCCCTATTACTACTTATACTTTCACTACCTCTACCACTACGGGATTTGAATCGATAACTGAATCTCTGTGCTAATGCGGTATGGCAACTCGAACTGATGTACGTACGTACGAAGTTCCACGTTGTTTCTGACTGACTGACGATAGATCTAGAATATTTTATAAATTTATCGTTTGTTGCTTAAGTTGTAAAATGCTAAGATCTCAGACATATGTCCACCCGAAAATGAAGCCAATGAACATAATGTTCACAATAAATGTGATTCACAGTCCATTAAATAAGCCAATGATTGATTATTGGGTTAGACATACTCATTCCTAACAAACAAATTACCAATAAATTTAATCTTGTAATATTATGTAAATTTCATCAATCGAAATAAATATTATGCTATTTATATTTGACTAAACTTACCTCAACTGGATAAGTTATTGTTAACGATGTGGCACCAGACAAACTAGCTACCAACAAACGATCTTCTGGAGGAAGTGGTCCTTTCACATTAGGAAAAATTACTGATTTAAGCCACCCGTGAAGACCAAAGCGAATAGCACTTTCAGGACAGTTTTTTAAAATATTCACCCCATTACCTCGCCATAATGACAGAATGCCACCTTCTTTGATCATTATACGCAAGCCTACGAAGTATCATAGAAGACGAAAGTACCTTGATAATAAATATACAAATTTCTGTTGTACACGGTAGAAAATAACTATTATTGACAGATGTCCTTTTTTAAACACAAGGTTTAATTCGATTACCTTTAACCTATGCGAATATTTCACAAAGCTATTAAATTGCACATATTTAGACTTTGGAATCTTCAAATTAAAACTACATTGGACATGAAACCAAAGTCTCCAACTTATTTCGTCAGTGATCACTTGGTAAATTCAGGATTTATGAGGTGATAAAAACTGTAGGGAATTACTAGTCCGCCAAGTTCATCAAATGACTTAAAGACGGACTATGGCTCGAAATAAAACTATGGGAATATACAACTGACTTATTAAATCCAGGGCAGAGTGGAAGAAAGAACAACGTGATCAGGTTTCATTCTAAATGTATGGGCAGAAATACAACAATAGGGATAATAATTTTGTCCATACTTAACATGAAGTGTTAAAATACAAGTGCGAAAGATATACAATGAACGTAAGAACTGAGTGGCATTCATACTACTTGGATAAATCTTCCTGATGTTTACCATAAACAGTGAATTAGGAAAACTTTGTTCTTCCACTCTTATCAAAAACTTGATATAGATTATAAGATTTATCAAGTTTATTAGTCATAAAGTAGACATTGATGTTTTTGGAAGTAAGGTGATGAAAAAAGACTAGTTTAAAAATGGTGACCATACAGCATCTGAGGACTAGTGGGAAAAGTATCGACCTCCAAATTGTGTAGAAAAATCTTACAACATATTTAGGGGTTAGAGCATCACTCAATGAATTTCGGCATGATAGTGTGCAAATCGGGAGAACCAGATAACTTAATGGCATATAAAAAAGATAGATAGGTCAAAGACAAGCGGGTGAAAGGTATATACGTAGAAACAAGGGAACATGTAATTAATGAAAGTCATTTCCATAAGGTGGAAGTAGAGATTAGTATTCCTAAAAATGCTTTAATGATTCTATCGAGGTCAATTGGACCAATGACTAATGACGTTAGATATCAGTCTAATAGATGAAGCTTTAGCCAGACAGGTGATTGTCAAATATCTTCAGAATACATAGCAACCATTTACCCCATAGATGACAACCAAAAACAATGGTTTTTTCAACTAATATACTGTATGTAGGAACATGTAAAAACTGGTACGACACAGACCACTATTAATACAGAATAATAAGAGAATTTTAGACATTGAAATGAAAAAACTCACTAAGCGTAAAATATATTTAAAACTATCGACACTCACTTGAAACCATGTTTTTACCTACGATTTCTGGAATTTCCATTTGCCTGAGGACTTTTAAACGATCCATAGGTGCTGTAACTGTTCGAGAAACTGTTCCAGAAATGCCACCACACACAAATCCAGCCAAATTCGGTGGAAGCAATGGTTCAGCAGTGGATTTAACTGAAACATCTACAGATTTCATTTCGAAATTTAGGTAGTACGGCCCAAGATCCTTCCTTACACTGCATCAATAAATTCTATCATTATTAATAAAATAATGTGTCATCAAAAGGGAGAGCATTCGTGATGGTTCAAGATTGTTAACTGAAAAACTAAACAAAACGATAAGTGAGTATTGGATAGTGTCTAGAGACAAACTCTCTAAAATTTATAACTAAAATACCTAATAGTTATTGACCTACAATGCGGTCCAAAAAGACCTGGGACTTTTCAGTGTGGTATACTTAGGTTTACTGAGAGAGGCATTCCTAATCTAACAGTTAGCCTCGTTTCTCGTAATTTATTTCTCGGTCTCAAAATTACTCTTGGAATTTAATAGAAGTGCTACTGAAACGTAATCAGTCTCACTTCGAGAGGCAGCAAAGGCTTGTTAGTTCTTGTAGTTATTTGTTATAATGAGGTTTATGAATCACATAAAACATCATATTTCTAATGTTAACAAACATATACTGTTTCGAACAGATAGGTAGCATAAGTTTGAAATCAAGAGGTACGTACTGTAGCCCATAATATGAGAAATTGTGATAATAGTGTTTTACAAATGTTTAAACTGTCAGTATGTGTTCTAACTGATGCATGAATCGAACGTATACGCAAACAATAATTGAGTAAGTGCAATTTTATTGTCTAGTTAGGACTTACACTGAAACACCAAAATAGTCACATCAAGAAGCCAAACATAAAATAATTGACATTATGATCCATATATTAAACATCTAGCTACTTTAGATAAGATTCCATTGATGCAACATCACATAAAGTATCCTACGAACCCCAATCATACCACAGTTTACAAGTCGGTCGAGGATACCTATTTAAAAAGACAAACACTGCACAGCAAAACGATTCGACCTGTTAGCTCTATTTTTGTCTTTCGCTCCTAACGCCTCGCGTATTTTATTTCTAGAACTCAAAAGTGGGGATGTTAACCTTAAGATAACCGATTCGGAAGCGTACATTCGTAGAGATAGCCTCAACTAGTATTACTTCAAAATAACCACGGAACTGCTTGCTATGACGCTCTATGTTGATTATAAGCGGTGTCAGACAAGAGACTAAACAACAAAACCAAACTATTACTTTAGAAATTAGGACCAACTTCGATTCGTTGGACAGAACTGTTTTCTGAGACTGTCTAATGAAGAGTGTACCTGAGTTTATTAACATCTTAGAAGCCCTGTATATAAACAATTTGGATAGAGTAAGGGCATACAATCACCTCCCTTCATCGTCCTACTCAAGCAGTGGGGTTAGACAGGGTTGTCCAATCTCACCGTTCCTCTTCAAGTTGGCTATCGATAACTTTCTGGAAACATCTGATGGATGTGGATGTTGTCTGGAGAAAGACGACCTTGAGTATGAGAATGATACTGTCTTACTGTGTGACGATATCCAAGCCATGCAATTCGCACTTAATTAGTCCGCAATCAGTGTCCGTAGGTATGGTTTATGCTTTGCACCTTCGAAGTACAAAGCGCTTTTACAAGACTGGCAGGACGTGTTCGGGTACGGTGACGATAATTCAGTTGGTGTCACTATCTTGAAACATCAACTTCGATGACTTGGACATGTTCTACAAATGTCGTCCAAGAGAATTACATGACGTGCATTGTTTTACGATGCTGGGACTAGTTGGAAAAAGCGGAGGGGTGGTTAGTGTATGACACTGTATGATAGAAAGCTGTATAGGACTGGCTTCTGTTGGTCCTTCACGACTCCCTACTTGGGGTCCTAGAGATGTTACAATACAGTGGCTTGAGATGTTATCAGATATGGCTCAGAACAGAAGCCGTTGGAAATCCTGATATAGCTTTCTTTTACTCTCTTCATAAAAAATGAACGTTACTTCTTTAACCGAAATTCTTTCTGGTTGTACTTTTGTTAACTGAAATATCTCACTATTATTATTTCACACTAATTACTGTCCGTTATTGTTCTCCTTTTTCTTATACGCACTCTACTCTTTATCTCCTCACATTCTCATTGTTGTTGTGTGGCGCATGTGTTTGGTGCCCTTTGTACCGATATTCATGTGCTCGAATAAATGAAGACAATTAAATAATTAGGAAACACGCCGTAACGATATAATCTGACACCAAATTTACCGGGTATCACGTGGAACTGAAGCAAATGATGGGTATTTTGGTGGCCGCAAGTTATTGGTCGGATAATTGGAAAAATCAATCACAGGAATCACCAAGCGAGAATGTACTTATAAGTACATTCTCACATATGTACATAAATATGAAACTTGAATGTTTATCTACCATCTGGTCAGTACATCCATGAAAGAAATGAAAATGTATCGACTGAAGATATACTAAGTATTATCTTGAATTCCACCTTATCAAACAACAAGATCACTACTACCTAAATCATCCAATCATTTAAAATGGGATTAGATTCATATTTGTAAAGTAAAGACAGAAGGCCTACGGCCTATGTTATTCCTTTTCTAGTATGCTTCTGTGAGTGTCCAGACTTCTCTTGTAAGAGTCAATTGAAGGTGCGGACACCACTGCTTTGGGCAGCAGGTTCCAAGTATTAATGACTAATTTTCAGTAACTCAACATACAGTTATGGAATTTTTATCACAAAAAAATACCAGAACTTTAATACAAACTTCTAGGTCATAAACTACATGTGACAGTGAAACAACCCATTCATGAAACAGGAATACCCACTCCGTCATAGTTTATAAACACGCCAACAACCAATGATACGAACGCGTTCAAATTTGGAACACTGAAACTTATAATTTTATTTGAGAGAATTAGTTAACCATTTATTTCTCGAGGTCTGTATCCGGATGATAAGAAACCATACTCCATACCGGAGAGGCATGGACTTTGCTATCTTCTTCCTGAAGATGAGCATAATTCAGTTTCAGTTTGGAAAGGACAGGAGGCTTGATGGCCTCTGTTAGTCCTGGCAATTGTGTTCTCTCAGTTGATCCAACTTTCTTTAGAAAGAATCTACGGATGGAGCTTCAACCACGTGTAGAGGTAATGAATTCCACTCGTTGATGATTCGGTGGGAAAGTCGATAATCAGCTGACAAGTAATTTGTTCTGGGCTTGTGAACTTTTTTGGAGTGTCCTCGTAAATTCTTTGTTTTGGAAGACAGGAAGAATTAAAGCATATCAGGTGTAATCAAGTCGCCTCTAGTTCTACGATATGACAAAGGGAATAGGTTTAGCTTGGCTAGTCGAGCATCATACGGAAGCTTCGCTATTACGGGAATCAGCTTAGTTGCTGTTCTCTGAACCTTTTCCAAAAACACACTGTCTTTTTTTAAGCAGGGGCTAGCCGCTTGTATGCAGTACTCAAGTTTAGGACGTACGAACACTGTGTACAAAGTCAAAAATGTTTGAGCGTCGACATGAGTAAAAGCCCTACGTATTGACCATAAAGTTCTAAAAGCTTTGGCGGCTATTGCACGGCAGTGTGCAGTAGTCTTCAGATCTTGGCTAACGATGACTCCTAAGTCATTATGTGTCTGGACAACAGGTAGCTCAGTGTTATTCATCGTGTATGTATCTGAACCTTGATGACCGATATGCATCACAAAACACTTGGAAGTATTTATCGGCAGCTGCCATGTATGAGACCATTCGGATAATATCTTCAGGTCATTTTGGAGTTCTAAGCTATCACCCTTACATCGTATCGTTCTCCATATCTTGACATCGTCAGCATATAGCAAGACCGATGATGATAGTAAGCGAGGAAGGTTGTTTACATACAAGAGGAATAGCACTGGCCCCAAAACTGTACCCTGGGGCACTCCACTAAGCACAGTTTCCCAGCTAGATAATTTTGAGTTTACCCGTACTCTTTGCTAGCGCCCAACAAGGAAGTCTTCTATCCACGTCAATAAATTGCCTCCAATTCCGACATTTTTAAGCTTATATAACAGCCGGTTGTGCGGAACCTTGTCAAAGCTTTGCTGAAATCGATGTAAGCCACGTCTACAGGTAACTTTTGGTCCTTAAAAGCGCACCAGCTTTCTCGAGTGACTAATAAATTAGTGAGAAAAGAATAACCTATTCTGGAACCGTGCTGTTTCTCCGAGAGGATTCGGTTTTCATCGAGGTATTTAAACAGCTCTTTCCGAATAATCTTTTCTAAGATTTTAATAACCACACTAGTTAGGCTAACGGGTCGGTAATTCTCAGGTTTATGTTTCGTACCTGTTTTGAAGACAGGACTTACTATGGCGTTCTTCCAGCATTTTGGTAAACGACCCTGCGTAACGGATAGCTTAAAGCATATACTTAAAGGGTTCACAACGAAGTTAAATAATTCCTTTAGTAGCCTAGGATGCAATCCATCGGGCCCCATGGATTTACCTATGTCAAGCTTATTTAGCAGATCAAAGACATCGAGTTCATTTATGGTCACGCTATCGAGTGTATGTGTGGGGGGTTTGTATGCGCTGACGGGAAGGGTGCTTCTATGGTATATACATTGCTAAAGTAGTTTGAGAACACTTGAGCTTTACCAAAGTCATCTTCCACTAATGATGCGGCAGTACTGTCTCCCCATAGTGCAGGAATAATTCCTCATCTTTTTGTCCTTTGGTTTATATAGGTTATTAGGAAAATATTGTGGAAGAGTAATTTCTTCCTCAATGCTTACTAAATTAAAGTTAATGTCAAACCTTAGTTTGAAAGATCTTGCATAAAATGCCGTTATTATCATCTTTGATAAGCAGTTCCGCAATTGATTCATTCAGATCATAAAAACATTTGTACGCATTTTGGTACTAGCTCATTAGTATTTTACGCTAAACGGAAACCTCAAGTGTAAATTGGTACTAAAATAAGTCATTTAACTGTCAGAGTGTATGGAGATGTGAGCAGCATGATATGTTAATACCATATCGTCTTAACCTCGTTATACTGGTAGCGATAAATTAACGTCCGAAATGAATGGTTCTATAAGTTATCGGCATTGATGCTGACCTCATTAGTTTTGCTGAACATATTTAACTGAAAGTCCTCGGTCACGCATCCGCACCAGATCATGAGCGTGTGCGCCATGCATTCGTTTCAACTGTTAGTCAGCTTGGACCAAACGCTTCTCAACTTATCGATAGCCTTCTAACCCTCTTCATTTCTGACTTCTGATTTGACCGGGTTAGCATACTAAGTTTATAAAGGTGTTACGTATAAAAGTCTTGTCAAACCCCGAACATAAAATGTCATTGTCTTTAATTTTTGCTTCTACATATTGTGGTATTTTATACATATCTTCGGACACTTTTCGCTCTTTCATTGGTATATCTTGCCTTAATTAAGACGGAATAGACGCCTAAATTCTTTGAGATGAAAACTCTTCCCCCCACACATTTCAGCTCATGCTTTTTTTGGCTCGACAACATAGAAGCTTGGTTTTGCTGCTCAGAAGCTGACTTCTACGAGCACGTCGTGACAGATCCACATGCACAGTTCCTCTCAATGGTGGAGGTCTAGTGGTATTGGTCCCAACCACACAATCCTTAAAGCTGGACATAAGAGACCTTGAAAAAAAGATATTCAACATTAACATGGAGAGAAGACCAACAGTGGTGGACGCGGAAATATTCGATTCAGTTGGATGGCGTGGCTCAACATCGCAGGCGTAGTCATTTTGTGTAACCGGTTTTTCTTCACTTTAAATATATTGTTCTATCTTTAGCTTAAGTGTGTTCTTCAGAAGTACTAAGTATCATAATGCTAATTTTAACGATACGATAAGTCAGTGTAGACGATGATGTGAGGTAGTCATATCATGACAAATCTACAATTTTAGTGTTACATCTATTATTAGAGCAGTAGTAATAGCGAACTTAGATCGTAATTCTATAAAGGCATTACCACGCGCGATTTCAAGAGGTACGCCACACCTGGAATGTTCATTAAGGATGCGTCAGCACCTTACGACACCCTAAAGAAAGATATTTTTAGGCGTGAGAACCTGACCGACCGACAAAGTTTAGACCGTTTCTCCCTCAACACCGAGCTGCAACATGGCCCAGCAGCAGAAGTGTTTCTACATATGTGAGGAATCACTGGTCAACAGGTCTATGATGATGGCCTGTTTAGACAGCTCTTCTTGTCTAAGCTTGTCCAAATATGTACTAGCACTTCTTGTCTCATTTCAGAATAACGCCGTAGGCTAACTGGATTCACCTGCAGACTGTATTCTGGAGATCACCAGAATTCCTAGCATCGAGGTTTGTTCGATCAACGAAAAGCCTCAAACAATACAAAATGACGTCACAGACCTCTACCATGCTTTTACTTGTTACCTTAATATTCATCGTTATCATAGATGCTCCCAAGATCCTCGAGAAAGCTCCTCACGAAAACAACTCGTCTCTAGACCACAAGAGATAGATAATCCCGATTGGTGCTGGTACCAAAATAAGCATGGTGAGTCTTCCACAGATTGCAGAAAACCCTGCAGTTTCCTAATCTTAAAACCTTCTGACACGAAAGGCTCTTCGGAAACTTTCTCACCGGTGCGCGTCAACGGCAACCGTAGCCGGCGAACACAGCCGTCTGTTGTACATCACTGGCGTGATGATGAGAGGTCGCCACCATAACGTCGTAGAAGTTACTGTTCCTTCTTCAAATCCTGACGAACGACTGCATTAACCGGTTTTCAACTTACAGGTGGCAAATTGGTCACCTACTGCCACATAGAGTTATTGAAGTGTACCTCACTGTGAGTTTGAGCAAACTTACTCACTAAATTTTCGTTGTTGCAGATGTTTATATGCCAATTATTAGTACATACGTGCTATAACACCATAATGTAATCATCTACCCAAGTAACGGAGGTTAGTACGTAGAAATACTAAATTATCTGTTTATGTAACTATAAGGCAACAACCTTCATTCTTGCTCTCTTTATGATAAAAAAGGGAACTATGTGTATGAAAATATTAGGCATATGATCGACCCATTCTATCAACAGATATTTGATAAGTACTCCAAACTGTACCGTACAAGAACAAAGTTACCGTGTGTAACCAGCAATGTTGCACACCACATCACAACTACGGAATTACTTGTATTCTCGAAAACGCACCGATTAGCTATCGAAAAGCTAAGATTGACCAAGAACCAATTCAAACACATGATAGACTTAGAAATCATTTAGGCATCTCCTTGCACATGGTCTCTAACAGGGCAGCAATGATTTGCGTTCAACTGATAACTATCGACGACTAAATAAGAAATCCGATCCCGGTCGTAGCTCGTTGCCACGCAATCACGATTTTGCCGTGAAAGCCACAACAGGCTATTGGAAAATCGATTTGGTTAATGCGTATAACCAAATCCACATAGCTGTTGGAGACATTCCTGAAACAGCTGTTGTCACCCTTTTTGGCCCCCGAGAGTTTTTGGGATACATGTAGGTTTAAGAAATGCTGCACAAGCTTTCCAGAGATTTATTTCATCTTCAGTATCTGGACCTTGTCTTCGAACGACTACGAAAATATGGCATAACTACAAACATTCGGAATATCAAATCTGCACCGAATCTTTGAATTTTCTCGAACACGCTATTGATGCCCAAGTTATCCGCCCTCTGATAAAAAAAGCGGCGGTTACTCTGGATTACCCCAACCGACCACAGTCAGGCAATTAAGTATGTTCAACGGTCTGGCGAGTTTACATCAGCGGTTTATAACAAATCGCGCGTCTTTCATGAGACCTTCAACAGGCCAGCCTTTTG